CCCCCCCCCCCTCCCCACTGTCTGTTCCTTTGTTCTCTCAGTTTGTCCTTTTTTCTCCCAGTTTGTCGTTTTCTGTCCCACTTTTTCCTTTTCTCTCCCACTTTGTCCTTTTCTCTCCCACTTTCTCGTCACGGCCGTACCACTCGTCGTCTAATTTCCGTTTTTGGCCCTACCTTCTTCCCCCGAATACAACGTACGGTCATTATAGCTGTATTTATTTGGGCCGTCTTTCAGACTAAATACAGCTATAATGACCGTACGTTGTATTCGGGAGAAGAAGGTAGTTGCACTACTCTCCATAGGCCAAGTTTGGCGAGTAGGCGCCTGGTTGCACTTACTCGTCAAACTCGGAGAATGCAAACTTAAAAAAAAAAAAAAAAAAAAAAAGTGTCAGACGGCTTGCCACACCGTCGACACAAGTTGTGGAGAGTGAATTCGGTTTCCCCGCCTGTGCACGGCGGTTTGTGGAGGGTGGTCCTCGGACCTCTCCACAAGACAACTTTCTGCAGAGTGCACGGCTTCACGAGCTGACATCAGGTAGCTAGGCTACCAGCCGGGCCGCCCGGGCCCCAGGTGGCCAGCCCGTGCAAGGACCAGAGAAGGTCCCAGCCAAAAAAAAAAAGAAACACGAACCCCCCCCCAAAAAAACTATGTTATGCAGAAAAATAAACTGAACAACCTTTGCCTCAGGGTCACATCGAAATTCTTTACCAAATTTAAAATAAAAATTGAAATAAAATAAAATATTATTTTTTTATTTTAGTTTTAATTTTTTTTGGCCCGGCCGGGCAAGTGACCCCGGGCCACTCTGATAGCCTAGTCAGGTAGACAATTTTTTTAAAACTTTTCTGTAGAAGAAATCTAGTGGCGAGTAAGTGCAACCAGCAGGCCTCGAGTTTGACACGATTCCCAGTTTTTTTGAACTCTCATGTTGCCATGAGAGGGACCCATCTTGAGCCCACACAATAAATCCAAGAACTCCAATACTTATCATAGATAGGGGTCGGGAGTTGTGTTTTCCCGCCCTTTCAGTCTCCACGGATCCGCCACCAAATGTGATGGATGGCGAGTAGTGCAACTCGGCCCTTTGTTTCTCCTTGTATAGATTCCGATCTGTCGCCCTACGTGAACTTTCCATATTTGTCTTTTACCCCTTACTGTGCGAACCGGATTGACGGGAAGTCCACTCACCCATCGTTTCCTGTTCCAGGTTGTTCTGCGAAAGGCACACACCCACATAAAAAAAAATAAAATCTAAAACGGAAGAAAAACAAGAGGGAAAACGAAAAAAAAAGGTTGAAAATTCGTGGAACTCAAGAAAACATAAGAGGGGAGAAGAAGAAGATAGAGGCAGGTCTTGTAGTAAGTAGTAAAGGAAGAAAGACATTAACCACCGAGATCGCCATAGCAAGCTATGGCTTCAACCTCCTCCCTCGCATATCTTCTTCTTGTTCTACCTTTTTTTTTTTTTTTTTTTTTTTTGCAGTCCTGGAGAAAGGGAAGTAAACTGGTATATCTTGTTCTTCTGTTTTTTTTTTAAATCTAATTCGCTTCTTGCGGAGTTCGAACTCAGGTCTGTATTTTCAACAGTTCAGCGGTGTACCAACTGAGCTACTACCTTCTTCCCCCGAAAAGAACGTACGGTCTTTATAGCTGTATGTGAGGCATCTTTCAGTCTAGATACAGCTATAATGACCATACGTAGTATTCGGGGGAAGAAGGTAGGCCAGTTGGTTAGACTGGCATTATCATCAGGTCTTGTAGTCGAGGTAAATCATAAAGTTTTGTATTTATCCACGAAATAAGGTTAAGTGCATGTCCTTTTCGAGAGATCCGTTGGAAGGATTGGAACGATACAGAGAAAGAGAAGATTAGCATGGCCCCTGCGTAAGAAGGATGACACGCATAAGTCGAGGAATGGTCCAAATTAAAGGAGGGGGGGGGGGGGGGGGGGGGCAGGAATTATGTGCATCCTAAATTTTCCTAATCCATTTTTTTTTTCTTTGTCCATCCTTATCCATTTATTCTTATCCATCCTTATCCATTGATGCTTATTCATCCTCAATTTATTCTTAATTTCTTATCCATCCTAATCCATTTATTCTTATCCATCCTTATCCATTAATTTTTTTATCCATTCTTATCCATCCATTTATTCATTTCTTGGCAAGTATCGATCTTTGATCTTGACTCATGACACACCGTGCTGTGTTTCCTTCTTCGTTCTTCCCCTCAATCATCAGGATCTTCGACGTCAAACACCAGAAGGAGATGGGCTGCTTGGTTCAGCATGAAGGTACTCACCACGTCTTCTTTCTCTCCCCCCCCCCCTCTCTCTCTCTCTTACTCTCTCTGTGCTTCCCTTCTTCTCTCTCTCTCTCTCTCTCTCTCTCTCTCTCTCTCTTCCCCCCCCCTCCCTTCCCTCGCTCTGTCTTCTGGCTCGTGTCCTCTCTGCTTTCCCCCTGTTTTCTCCCTTCTTATTTTCCCTCTTTTCTTCCTTGCGCACAAAATTTTTCTCGCTTTCTGATGAGTCAGTGCCCTTCGCTTTACTTGGCTCTTTACCTGTCTCATAGGGCACCACCTTCCCCCCTTGTTCCCTCCCCCCCCTCCCTCTGTCCCCTTTGTGATCAAAGTCAGACTTTCCCCCTCATCTGCCAGCGTGTTCTAGCCATCTGTTCCTCTCCCCATCTGTGCTCACTAAAGTCAGACCCAAGGGTGACTGAAGCCACGCCGAAGGCTCAACGAAGCTGCAACGCAGGCTCGGTGATCGCTCCAAAGACTCAGTGAAGTCACTCCGAAAGCTCACGGAAGTTACACAGAGGCCTCACCGAAGTCGCACCGTGACCAAGTCGCACGGAATCACCAATTTGCAATAAAGCCATATGGAAGAGTGAAGTCAAGCCAAAAGTCAAACCGAGACGAAATCAAAGTTGAACCGAAATGAAATCAAAGTTGAACCGAAATGAAATCAAAGCCGAACTAAAGTCTATCCGATTTAAACTAAACTGAAGTCACACAGATGTCACACGGATGTCACACAGGCATCACACGGACGTCACACCGGTGTCACACAGACACACCGATGTCGCACGGATGTCACAGCGATCTCATGCCAAAAAGAGACAGAAGCAGCGAGTCTCTCTCCTCGGTCAGGAGATAAAAGACACAAAGATCGGCTCTGCAAGTCACTCCAACGTCAAACCAAAGTGAAACCGAATAGTCACACCAGAGTCGCACAAAAGTCGCACCAGAAAGTCCCCACAGAATTTCCCTCCCGTGTCTGCACGGGAGAGTCTGACCGAATCACAGAGACGAAGTCCCTGCCTGGGGGCTGGGCTGAGTGGTATGTACGTCTGGGTAGGGAGTCTGATCGAAGTATGCAGATCGCGAGTTCAAACCCTGACGGATACAAGTCTGAACTCGCGAGTTCAAACCACACCAGAAATAAGCAGATCGCGAGTTCAAGCCCTGATGGATACAAGAAAGTTGGACCAAGCCATAGAAAAGTCACGTCAAGGGCACAAATTCGCACCAAAGCCATACCAAGATCAGAACGAAGTCACAAGAAATTGCTCCAAAGTCGCTCCGGTGCACTCTTAAACCACCAGTACATCCAGCTATCGGCTGTGGGCCCTTTTCGGAGGCTCCCCGCCACCGATTGGATTTCTCTATACGGCACTGGCCCTCCGAAAATGTAGTAGGCGACGAGTTTTCTTTTCAGCAACGCTGGGGCCGTCTTGTACTGGCAGTTTGAGTTTCACATTCAAGTCAAAGTCAAAGTCAAACTGGAGTCATTGCAAAGTCAACACAGAGTCACATTACCAACTTCCCCTGAACCCAACGAACGGGGAACATGAATGTATACAAGCCGCCTTCGGGTCCAATACAGTCATGATGAGGGTACGTTGTGTTTGGGGAAGACAGTAGAGGCTTGCCAAAGCGACAGCAAATAAAAAACAGCCTCACTAAAGTCTGTCTCACGAATGGACCCCACCAATGTCCCACCAATGCACCACCAGTGTCACACCAGTGTCACACCAGTGTCACACCAATGGCACACCAATGGCACACCAATGGCACACCAGGGTCACACCAGGGTCACACCAGTGTCACACCAGTGTCACACCAAATGTGACACCAGTGTCATTCTGAGGTCGTTTCCCGAAAAACGAAAAAATTCTCTCCAAGAAACAAAACAAAAAAAACAAAGGTCATACTGACAAAGGCTCTGAAGTTGTTCCAAGAAAAATAAAAAAGTCACTTTGAAAGAAAACAAAGAAAGAGAAGGTGCATCACTGTCACACCAAGGTCACACCACAGTTTTACGGAAGTTGCTCCAGTGTCACACCAAATCTCACCAAAATTTCACTGTCACCAGTAAAAGACATGGCATCCATCGCCTAAGGATCCAATGGCACCCAATCGAGCTTGGGGATTGACACTGGGTTCAAACCAGCAGTACGCGGGTCAGCTATCCACGGCAGTATGTGAGTTTACTGCAACGCTGCAATCAGATTGGGCGTTACCTAACTCACCGGAATGACAATTTCTGGGTGTCGGAGGGAGTTGTGGTTTAAACCAACAGTGCATCCGAGCCTCTTTTGTACGAGGCAGATTCCCACTGCATGCCAAGCTTTTTTGCCGAAACGCCTGCGTGGGGTTTTTGTTTTAGTTATGGCTGGCAGGCTAGGCAGCACCAGCCCGTTTTGGTCCTGGTTGCCCCGAGCCTTCAATTTTTTTTGGGAGAGGATCGATTGTGATTCTCAACTTGGCTGGGGTCCATGCACCGGTGGTTTAAAACCTGAATTGTGAAAGGATTCACCTTTCCAAGCCTGCCGCGATTTGATCCCGGGACCTGTTGCTGTTGTTGTTTTGCCTTTCGGCGGCTATATGTTGTATGCTTGAGAGTCTCCTTACAATTGATTGATGAGGACGAAAGAAGTATTTACAGCAATGAGCCTAGCTGAGTGAGGGTAATTGGTACATATCATGCATGACATTCAATTCAAAATGAAAGCTATGCACAATGATTTTTGATAAGTTTTGCTTCTAGTTTACCAAGAAAGGGCGTAATTGCAAAGTACAAGGAAAAAAAAACTGATGCAATTTGTCCAATAGTTACATGGGGTGCTTCCACAGGTTGACATCCAATCCAAAAACCACAAACTGTTGAATTGAAATACGGACCCAAGTTTGAGTCCAGATGCAATCAAATGAATAGAACACAACTAAAAAAATGAATAAAAAAAAGTGAAATGGATTGATGAGGAAGAATAGATTTTTGTAATGATCGATAAAAGAAAAGAAATTCCTTACCGAATTCCGTACAAAAAAAATAAAAACATCAAATCGAAATTCCTTACCCAAAAAAAAAAATAAACATTAGAATTAAAAAACATATTTTAATCGTTTACTTTTTACTTATTTATTTTTTTGACCCGGCTGGGCAAGTGGGCCCGGGCCACTCTGGTAGCCTATTTTGGTAGCTTTAAAGGCAATTCTTTTCCGCCCTAAAAAAAATAAATAATATATGGCAACTCTGGCGCTTTCTGATTCAAGGGAAAAAAAGAAAGGAAAGAAATTCAAAGAGCCCTTCTGCTGGTTTCGCAACTCTTGCGATTGGATTTTTATTAAATTTATTTATTTATTCATCATGTAAGTTTGGCATGCTGATTGAAGAGTTTTTTTTTTTTTTTTTTTTTGCTTTGCTAACAGGTTCTGTGATGAGTGTGGAACTCTTTGGGGTTGGGACTCATCCAACGCATCTGGTCAGTGGAGGCGAGGATGGGTGGTTGTGTGTCTGGGATGCGGAGAACTGGATGCATCTCAAAACGCTCAAGGGCCACAAGTAAGTGACTTCAACAGGGGAAAAAAAGGGAAAAAGGGAAAGAAAGTGGTTGAAGCTGCAGTTTTTTAGTTTTTTGTTGGGGGGGGGGGGGGGGGGGGGTGGTTCAGCTTGCTATGTGTGTGGGTTTGTTTACGTGTCCTGCCCTTATATTTCAAATTTCAATACCTCAAATATCTTTTCTTCTAAATTTTAAAATTTTAACGGATTGTTTGCTTTGTAATGAACCCAGTCTGGCAGATACTCAGAAGTCGTCAAACATCAGTTGTCTCATTATCTGCATCACAGTCTCCAAATCGTGAAGTGATATCTCAAACAGTATCTCATTACCATCAAAAGAAGAGAGTGGAGGGGGAATAGACAAAGGAGAAGATGAGAGATCACACAGTAATAATCCCTTCAGAACCCTCTCCTTCTCCGAGCTTCTTCCGTCTCCACGTCATAAATGATAATAAGTATATTCCTGATCACACACAATAGTGCCACGTGGCACTCTAGCTCGTGAAGACCATGAAGACATAGCAGATTCCAGTGACGACGTCAACCTTAGGTGAGTACCCGACCTCCTTCATCCACAGATCCCGATCTTCCTCCTCCTTGCAACCAGTCACCTCATGTAGACAGCGTGGACAATGCCACGTCAGCAGTCAAAACAGGTGGCATATGCCACATCATCAATGGAGACCAGAGGCAGTGCCACATCAGCATGCAATGTAGACCAGAGGTAGCGCCACATCAACATGCAATGTAGACCAGAGGTAGCGCCACATCAGCATGCAATGTAGACCAGAGGTAGTGCCACATCAGCATGCAATGTAGACCAAAGGTAGCGCCACATCAGCATGCCACCTCAGCAAGCCTGGCGCACAATGCAGAAAGCGCCAGCATGCTGCCTCCACCTCGTGCCGTCGTCCGCATCGCTAGTGCACAGCCAGCATCGAGCCAGCATAATGCCAGCGTCTAGTCAAAGTCGAGCCAGCGTCAAAGTAGCATAGCAAGATTGAATGCTTCACTCACTCGAGGCCAGCCTTACGTCACAGTTGTCGAGGCTGTCTGGCCTCGGGTGCTTTTCCCACAGTCATCCAGATTGAGTCGCAGCTGAGGGCCCGGATTGTACAGTTGCAGACTTCTCCCTTGGACCTGATGCTGTCTGGGTACCTGCATACAAACAAGTGTGTGTGCTTGACCAATGGCCTGGGCTAGGTACCTTTGGACTTTGACTGTTGGGTCACGACAGTTGACCAAAGTCAACTGTCACACGTCCAGGTCCTGAGTCTTTGTTTGGGTTCCTTTTTGCCCCCGTTTCGGCCTGGGCTGAGGGTTGCCCTCAATCTTTCCACGGGACATATGGCATGGGTTATTGCAGTTTGTTGGCTAGCTTGCTTTGTCTTTCCTGTGTTTTTTCGGGGGGGGGGGAGTATGCTAATATGATATTATCATATTAATGAGTAGTTTATGTACTCTTTTATTTTTGTTTCTTCTTGGCTGGCGACCTCCATTTTCGTCCTGTTGCGCCGGTCCCGTGAAGATGCGGCATGGACGCAGCTCAGGGAAAGAAAAAATTGCCTGGGAGAGGCAGTGCTGGTCAACATTACCTGGGTTGCCCGGCTGGGCGACCGGGCCGAACTTGCAGGGGGGTTGGCCGCCCGGATACCCGGGCGACACCAAAAAGGGGGTCAAAAGTTTCCTATTTGGGTAGCGGGGCAGTTTTGCACCCACTGAGACATGCCTAAATCCGGCCTTGTCTATGAATTTAGTGACATCTCACCAAAAAGGGTGTCTATGGGGTATAAGCAGGGTTCGAAAGGTCTCCAAGGAGCTTAACGGGGAATGATATAATTTAGCATTTTTTTAATTTTTATATTTTTTTTGAAATTTCGGATTCCATAACGAATTTCGGGGTGACCCTTAGCCAAAAGTTGATTAATTAGCAATTCTGCATGTCGTTGTTATTGGATCAGTACCTTTGGGCCTCGGCCCTCCTCCGTGCAAGCACGAATTCGAACCGGCGACCTCGGCCTCAAGAGCCAAGTATCATAACCACTACAGCCAGGACACGGTGTTCAAAAGCGGAACCATACCGGCCGTGATATCCGCCCCACCCCTGCAAGGCTGTAGTGTCCACACTCGACGCACACCACACACAACGCCACACGAACTCTGCCAATCACCGCACACTTCGCTCCAAGTAGCACATGACCCCCATCGGTAGTATAGCCCGGTCACTCATGTGGGACTTAACTGCCGGCCGGTTAGCGGGAGCTTTCCAATGTCATTGGATCAGTACCTTTGGGCCTCAGCCCTCCTCCGTGCAAGCACGACATAGTTCTTTTTTCGTTTTTTTTTTTTGTTTTTTTTTTTTGTTTTTTTTTGTTTTTTTTGTTTTTTTTTCCCGTGCTGGGACTGCTCGGGACCTTGACCGGGATGTTGCCCGGACCTGGCCCGCTGGGGCCACCCGGGCCAATCTGAGGCA